AAAAACACAAAGCTTCACAACATATTAAGTCTAACTGTGAAGTAATTTACAGATTTTTTGTTTGTTTCATTTATTGATTAAATTTGCCTAAAGGCCACAATGGGTCATCATACTACCAACACACAAAACAAATAATATGATCTATTAAAATGCACAAGTTCAGATGCTTAGAAAAATATTACCTTTCTTATTTTTTTCATGTAAGATAACATATTAGTAATAAAGCCCTAAAACCTTGTTCAGATCTGGAATATGATCGATGAATTCAGGCCGTTGGCTTTTACGACAGCAGATTTTGCTTTCCTTAAAGTTCCTTCACACTCGCTCATCTTTCTCTATCCGTCTTTTCTCCTCCCCACCTCTCCCCCGAGGCATTTATGTGGATGAGAGAAAAAAATTAATTAATCACATACGAAGTGGTGAAGGAATAACTTTTCATGTGAAAACACCTCAGCTTTTATGGTTTTACTAAACGATCCATAATGCAGGCAGGGAGCACTCAGTCCTGCAGATTAAGGTAGGTCGAGACAGGAGAGAGGCTCGGTGCCGCAGCCGTTAGACCCCGCCATTGAAGGCCTTACCAGTATCGCATCAGCTGAGACAGGCACAAATCTCTTTTACGACGCTGCCTCTTAAATAGCTGTCAGTCTAGTGTCTCACACGTGGCACACTTCTCGAGTTCCCCTCGCAATAATTGAACCATCTCTCTCAGTGCGCTGAAATGGTGTGGGAAGTCATTGCGACAGCCTGTGTTTATACCATTAAACTAAACTCGTGCATAAATCTAACTGTATAGCCTTTGTCACAAACCCCGCACCAGCTAGAACCAACATTTTTACCTATATTTCATTAAATATGAAAATGAAGTAAATGCCTGGAATAATGTAAATCCATGCAGTTTTTTTTTAGAAAGAGACTTTCAATTTTGGTTTAAACTGTGTTATTAAGGTTTGCTCTGTGTCTTTACGTCAAGACTTGTCTGTGGCCTTTCTGTGCTCTGGTTTCCTCCCACAGTACAAAGATGCCTATCAGGTGGCATGCTAGGTTAACTGGTGTTTCCAACTTGATTGTGGTTGTGAAGGTGCTTGGCTGCCTGTCTTTGTTAGCCCTGTAAAAAAATAGTGACGTGTCAACCAGTAAGAGAAGAAAATGTCCTCATGTAAGTCGTAGGGGTATTTGTATCTTAAAAACACATGGTTTTATTAAGTTGTTTTGCATTATTTTGGGCTTATCTAACAAACAAACTATATACTCATACTATACAGTGGTTTGCAAAAGTATTCATACCCCTTGAACTTTTCCATATTTTGTCACATTACAACCACAAACATAAATATATTTCACTGGAATTTYATGTGAAAGACCAACACAAAGTGGTATACAATTGTGAAGTGGAAGCAAAATTTTACATGAATCAAAACATTTTTTACAAATAAAAAACTGAAAAGTGCGATGTGCAAAATTATTCAGCCCCCCTGAGTCAATACTTTGTGGAGCCACCTTTTGCTGCAATTATAGCTGCAAGTCTTTTAGGGTATGTCTCCACCAGCTTTGCACATCTAGTGACTGCAATTCTTGCCCATTCCTCCTTGCAAAACAGCTCAAGCTCAGTCAGATTGGATGGAGAGCGTTTGTGAACAGCAGTTTTGAGATCTTGCCACAAATTCTCAATTGGGTTTAGGTCTGGACTTTGACTGGGCCATTCTAACACATGAATATTCTTTTTTTTAAAACACTCCATTGTAGCTTTGGCTTTATGTTTAGGGTCGTTGTCCTGTTGGAAGGTGAACCTCCGCCCCAGTCTCAAATCTTTTGCTGACTCCAACAGGTTTTCTTCCAAGATTGCCCTGTATTTGGCTCCATCCATCTTCCCATCAACTTTGACCAACTTCCCGGTCCCTGCTGAAGAGAAGCACCCCCAGAGCATGATGCTGCCACCACCATATTTGACAGTGGGGATGGTGTTTTCAGAGTGATGTGCAGTGTTCTTTCTCCGCCACACATAGCGTTTTGCATTGTGGCCAAAAAGTTCAATTTTGGTCTCGTCTGACCAAAGCACCTTCTTCCACATGTTTGCTGTGTCCTCAACATGGCTTCTGGCAAACTGCAAACGGGACTTCTTATGGTTTTCTTTTAACAATGGCTTTCTCCTTGCCACTCTTCCATAAAGACCACATTTGTGTAGTGCACGACTAATTGTTGTCCTGTGTACAGTTTCCCCCACCTGAGCTGTGGCTCTCTGCATTTCATCCAGAGTCACCATGGGCCTCTTGGCTGCCTCTCTGATCAGTGATCTCCTTGTTCGGCCTGTAAGTTTAGGTGGACGGCCTTGTCTTGGCAGGTTTACTGTGGTGCCATACTCTTTCCATTTCCGGATGATGGATTGAACAGTGCTCCGTGAGATGTTCAAAGCTTGGGAAATCTTTTTATAACCTAAGCCTGCTTTAAACTTCTCCAAAACCATATTCCTAACCTGTCTGGTGTGTTCTTTGGACTTCATGATGCTGTTTGCTCCCCAATATTCTCTTAACCAACATCTGAGGCCATCACGGAGCAGCTGTATTTGTACTGAGATTAGATTACACACAGGTGGACCCTTTTGAGTCATTAGCAGTCATCAGGCAACTTCTGAATGCAATTGGTTGCACTCAGGGAAAAGGGGGCTGAATACTTTTGCACGTCGCACTTTTCAGTTTTTTATTTGTAAAAAATGTTTTGATTCATGTAAAATTTTGCTTCCACTTCACAATTGTATACCACTTTGTGTTGGTCTTTCACATTAAATTCCAGTGAAATATATTTATGTTTGTGGTTGTAATGTGACAAAATATGGAAAAGTTCAAGGGGTATGAATACTTTTGCAAACCACTGTATATATGTGTGTGTGAACCATATATTTTGGTAAAGTGAATTTTGTCTCATTTGAAATAAGTCCAAACTTGAAGTTACACTGGAAAAAAAAATAAACTCGAGTGAGTGAATATGGGAAAATTATGCCTTAAATGCATGTTTTTTAGCACTTATATATGAGCTTTACATTTTTAGTTAAGATTGTTTTCAAGTGCATCAGTGGTCAAATCTCCTTCCTGTGACACCAACCTTAGTTTAAGTAATAACTTCCCCTCTACAATATTTATTGTAACAAAAACCTAAATAGAAACCCACGTGCCAAACTCACAGCCTTCTTCACTTAATATAAACACATTAAAGAAGCATTTGCATTTATATAGTTCTTTCAGACTGTCTGATGTCGCTGCCAGCTGTATCCAGAAAAAGCTCAGCGTCTAACCGATTGTTACCTGGGGAAAATTAAGATAAGTGAGTAATCCCATGGATGAAAATAGCTTGAAAATGGCTTTGTTGGACCCATGGTAGTAGCACCAACCAAGTAAGCAGAATTAACAAACCCCCCCATATTCATTGCCGGGAATGAAAATAGCCTCTTTACAGTTTCACGATTTCATAAAATAATGATATCTTACTCATCTCTCAACTGAAACGAGGCACATTTGGATTCTTTATGGTTTAGACTAATGTATACTTTTGCATATTTGAAATGGGTAATGGGATGGAGTGATTTGCAATTTGATGTAAAAGCTCGATTGAATTCATTTGTATGCAGTTTTTTTTAAATTCACCATGAGCTGCTGTGTAATCCATATTTGCTGTAGCTAACTGAAATCTTCACAAAATGGTTATCAATAGTTAAATATTCTTTAAAATTGCATATGCTTTGCATCCTCACGTGGCACATTTACATGATGGTTTTAATCCACATATTTAAAAAAAATGACTGTAGAAGACAGCGATAGAATAGTAATCTGAGCCATCTGATTTAATGGCTTGCTGACTATAATGGTAATCCACTGGCCTCTCCCTCCCTCTTTCCCCCCTAGGAACTCCATTCAATGACAGGAAACAAACAGTGCTGTGACACTTCCTGCTAATTAGCATCATTAGCATACGGTCATTATGTAGCTGGACAGTGGCATGACAGGGCTCTGAGAAGGGCTACAGTGGTGACCTTTAGTGGACATCACCAGCTGTCAGTAATTACCCATAACACTGGCCTGAGGGATGGAGACAGAGACTGACTTCTTGTCCTTGAGGGCTTGTGGCGCCTGGGAACATCTTTCCAGTTCCCTCCATTTTACCTTCTTTTACATGTATATACATATATTTAGAAAGTTATGCTCCAGCAGTTGACAAACGTGATGTTACTTCCTTACCTTCTAATTAGAAATCATGAAGTATTAATGGCTGTAGGCTGAGATTTAAGTAAAACTTGTGACTCAATGGGATGATGTGCCTGCACATTTGCTGCCAGAGGCTTGCGTATCCACACTGTTGACAAATATATTTCACTTAATGCGAAGTAATGATTTAAACACTGCTGCTGCACAAACCATTTATTTTTTTCAAAATTCCATGTGAAGATATCTATGTTTTTTGCCTAAGTGCTAATAATAACATGCTGTTTGATGCAGTTTTCTTTAGCTCGTAACAGTCTTTGAAGATGTAATGTTTGCTGTAGAACTCTGCATTTTGTCATCTGTGAGAAAGGCTGTGCTTATGAAAAGGGAAACAACTTTAAATGGTGTAAGTATCTCACTGGTGAACAGGAGAGGTAATTTGAAACTTTGAAATTTTTTAGAAAATTATATGCATAGAGGTGTGATATCTTACAGCTGCAGTGGCACCAAAATATTTTATCCTCCCTATTTAAAATATATTCAGTTAAGTATATCTAAAAATGGAGACATGTAAGTGTATCTTGTACTTATTACTCATACTCTTCTTTTGAAAAATATCTCACTGATGTGCTATTCTAAGCTCACATTGCTTAACCTTATAGAGCCGGATTACTTATACAGTCTGTGTGTGAGCGATATACACATAAAAAACACATTTTTGAATTCCAGGGCTAGTCTCTGGAAACCCTCATTCTCTGGTGTTTTTTAAATGCCTTTTTAAACATTTTTTCCCCTCTTTTTCAATAGGAACGTCTGTTATGAAGGTTACTGCATCTGATGCTGATGACCCCACATACGGCAGCAGCGCCAGAGTGGTTTATAGTGTGCTGGATGGAGAAAAGTTCTTCACTGTTGAGAGACACACAGGTATGAAAACACTCCTTAAATGTGCGGTTGAATTTATTTTCCTTGACAATGTTCTTTTTAAATTTAATTATCTTCCCTAAAGTTCAAAATTCACTTTATCCAAGATCAACTGAAGACAGTTATCTTCTCAATGTCTAATTTAAAAAAATAAAAAATAAATAAATAAGGTACTTTTTCAGTCACTTTATGATCTTCAAACCAAATGCTTTTGGGGCATCAGCATGTGTTTCAGGCCCATCACCCAATCACTGTTGAAGAAAGGCACCATATCTGTGTGCGGATGGCAAAGTGGTGAAAGACAATGAATGAATGGATGCTTGTCTAATTTTGGAGATTTTTTATGTGCACTGTGTTACGCTTTGAAGCTCTTTCTTAAGTACTTGTTGACAGTCAGATCTACAAATACACCAAATCTGTTTGTCTAGCTCAGGGTAATTTGATTTAAAACAGGTTTTACTTCTTCGAAGAGATATGATCTGTGTTTCTTTAAATATTTCCCTCTGGAAAACAATCTATCGTTATAGTGGTAACTTTATAAATCATACACAGGTGTCAAAAGTATTCACAGTCATTACTTAAGTAGAAGTATAGATACTAGAGTTTAAAATAGTTTTTTGGAAGTAGAAGTATCAACTCAAGCTTTTTACTCAAGTAAAAGTATAAAAGTACTGGTTTTAAAACTACTTAAAGTATAAAGTAAAAGTAATGAACACAAAAATGTAATTAAGGAGAAAAGCTTAGGCTGTGCCACAGAGTTCTATAGCGCAGTAGTTCCCAAAGTTGGGGTCAGGACCCACAGTGGGATCCCGAAACATCAAGTGGGGTCCTGAAAATATTTTTGAATTAATTACACAAAAAAAAATGACAATTAAGAACATTTTCCCTCTTTTTTTTTTTTTACAAAATTAGATTAGTGTACTTAAAACGGACAAAAAATAGCATAAAAAATGTTCTACTCTAGTTTATTTAACGTGAAAACATGTTTATCAGCCAACAACAGCTGGGAGCACAGGTCTCTGCTATGGGTATTTTGTGGGTCAAGTTTGGAAACCACTGCTAAAGCATACCCCCCCCCCCCCCCCCCCCCCCCCCCTGCGCCCATTTTTTTCTTCTGAATAATGAGTGTTATGTTAAATTCAAATGTTTATGTTGAAAGTTTTTGAATTTTCTGACTAGACTAGTTGTTTCAGCCACCATCATCTTCATTCTTGGCTACATCAGCTACAGTATGTTCTGCTGGAATGTGATGTGATTTGCATCATACAGGTGTGATAGAGTGTGTTCAATTCAATAGGATGTCAGAATGGTTCATTTACTCTTCTCATCCAACCACAATCAAATTCACTCTATCGAAGGGTTCTATGTATCTGGATAGATTTCTATTTATTTCTTTTTTTCTGAACAATAAAAAAGATGGAATAAAAACAAGTCAAAGTCAAATAGAAATGAAATACTTTTTTGCTTTTTTAAAAAGTAAGGAGTAGAAAGTACAGATAATTTAATTAAAATGTAAGAAGTAGAAGTAAAAAGTAGGCTGAGAAATATTTACTCCACTAAAGTATAAATAACCAAAATTTCTACTTAAGTAAAGTAACAAAGTATTTGTACTTAATTACTTAACACTTCTGGATCATAAATTTGGCCATGTAAGTTTCACAAATTGAAGCAAGACAAATAAACAGCTATCTTATTTAAAGAAATGCATTTAAGCAACATTTTTGTTCAGTTCCTAAAATCTTATAAAAATGTGTTATACTATTATTTGCACACTTCTCCTCTCTCACCTATATATATGGAAAACCTACTTTTCCCCCCTCACAGACGGAGCTTATAGCAGCAGTAAGACCTGACCTACAGTGTTTCAGGAGTACCCAGGCACTGGTGTTTGAATGCCGGCCCCCAGGGAAAAGTGCTAAAGTTTTAATGATTCCTTTTTTTGGTGTCCACCACTTTGATTTGGTCAGGGTGCCTGGATGATAAATGAGTCTACCTTGGTGGGATAAGTCGGGAGACTGGATGGTTCATTCCAGCTCTTGACTCACCGCCCTCATTCTACCCACCCCCTCTACCTACCTTTTAGGCAGACAGGCTTAAAAGATGGGAGGGGAAGGTGGGTGGATAATAATAGACAAGACAATAGGTGCAAGTCAAGAGGGTCAAAATATGGCAGAGACAGAAATCACACTCAATAATATCACTCTAACTCACCTTGACAACAAGCTCAGTAGCAAGTCGCAGTTTATCTTCTGTCACTTGGGCCATGAAACAATTATCTAGAGGAGTTTTTTTTAGTATGAGGCATTTGTCCCAAGGAAAAACCACACATTATTATGAGTTGCTACAGTACTTCTATGTATACATTTAGGGCACTGCATATTGATTTTGTTTCTATGATGTCACATATACAAGGGTTAGACAATGAAAGTGAAACATCTGTCATTTTAGTGTGGGAGGTTTCATGGCTAAATTGGACCACCTGGTAGCCAATCTTCATTAATTGCACATTGCACCAGTAAGAGCAGAGTGTGAAGGTTCAATTAGCAGGGTAAGAGCACAGTTTTGCTCAAAATATTGCAGTGCACACAACATTATGGGTGAAAATCAAAGAAACATTTAATATAATAAATATATTACAAAAAGAACCAGAAGTAAAAGTGTACAAATTGTTTTTTTTTAGAAAAACAAAATTAGAAAAAAGAATATAAGCAACATAAAATTAAAGTATTTTGATCTACACTCCATATCAGTAGGTGGCGGTAATGCACATCTTCCGTTGTTTGCCAACCGCCATAAAACACTACACAAGAAAAAGAACATTTTGAGTGACATACCAGAGTTCAAAAGAGGACAAATTGTTGGTGCACATCTTGCTAGCACATCTATGACAAAGGCCCTTTCCCAATCGGTGGCTACACACTCGCCCTAGTCCCTACTCACTCAGTTTGCACGTTCCCGCAGAGGGTTGGCCATATTAAGTCCCATCTGAAACCAATTAGGTACGAGGGCGAGTGGCTTATTAAGCCCTCCACAGCGAGTCTGCATCCGATGCAGACTTGAGCAGCAGGTGCAGCACCAAATAGTGGTCGACATGGAACACGGGACGTATAAATATAAGTTCCACATATGTTTTGTACACATATTTACTAAGTAAACACCTCACCAACAAATATAATTTCATATAAATCATGTTTAATTCAATTAAAACTTTATTAAAGACACCGAACCCTGGTCCATATTTAAAAAAAGAAGAAAAGAAAAATGAAAGTAAAAGTAAATAAATTATTTTAAAAACATTAAATGTGCAATTGTTTTGACAAGTTATCACACTTTGTTACAAATACAGTCATATCTGAAAACTTTCTAAATTGTGGGTCTAATTAAATATTTTCTTTGGTCTCTTAAAAAAAAACCTTTTGTTCTCCTGCATTCAATCGCTGCCAGAGCTTGGACCGTTAACATGGTGACAGCAGCTTCCTGTTCCGGTGGAGTGAGGAGAGCCCATCTCAAAAGAGGAGGGTGTATACAGCGCCATCAAGGGGACTCAGTTCAGCTGTGAGGGTGCTTCACAGCGAGTGTAGTGTGTAGGGAGTAGGGCGAGTGTGTAGCCACTGATTGGGAAAGGGCCAAAGACAGCAAGTTGTTGTGATGAATCAAGAGCCACGGTATCCAGGGCAATGTCAGCATACCACCGAGAAGGACGAACCACATCCAACAGGATTAACTGTGGACACAAGAGGAAGCTGTCTGAAAGGGATGTTATGGTCTAAAACCAGGTGTTTCACTTTCATTGTCTAACCCCTGTATATACTATATTTTAGCAATAAAGTGGTGGTAAAGATTTTTAATTCAAATGTGTACCAAGAGTAAAAAGGAAAGAAAACCATGCAGAGGTCTTTTCATTTGACCATCACATCAAAATAATTATTCACTGTCGACATGAGTGTGACTGAAGTAAACACATTAGCACTACTGAAATCTAAAAGTGACTGTGTGTGTAGGTGGAACATGCCTGTGTAGAATTTACAAGTGAGTATTGACTTCAAAAGGGGTCCTATATTATTAGAATGTTTTAAAATTCTGAATAGAGCATTTTAAAGACTGCCACTCAAGCTGTGGCATTTGGAGTTCTTGTAATGAACATAAGTGGTGTTTAGTGACAAGTTTTCATCTACTAATTGACAGAACCACAGTAGGAAGGATTTCACACCATAATGATTATTTTGGATCAACTATATCAAAGAAGGTCTAGTTAGATTTTTTTTACATGGAACTATATATGTGAAGTACTTCATGTAAATATCAAGTGGATGCCAGTATTTCATTTTTCATCCCTGCTCTTTACACAAGAAGAAAACTAAATTGTGAGAGCATTCATGAAACAGCTTGCTGTACTGTTTAAAGTGCCATTAAACTTTCACAAGTTTTTTTTTACCGTTTGAGACACAAAACAGCAGTGTAACAGCAACTGTAATTTAGAATATACTTATGATTACTTTTAATTTCAATAAACATACCAAATATTTTTTCTACTGTCTGTCCAAATATTTATTATCAAATAACAATCTAAATTAATTAATTGTTTATATTTCTAAATTTAAAGACATGATTAAGCATTTTTGGTTTTCTTTATGTCACAGTTGACCGTTCAATTTCACTTACAAAGGTACTACCCATGAACATTTCTCAGCAGCAATATGTACAGTATGGTTCAACAGCTTCTATTCAAATAAAGGTGGAAGAAATGGCTCTGTGACATGCATAAAATGTAGCTGATTCCTTCATCTTTAACTGCCTCTTTTCATTGTTTTCCACTGGCTGTAAGGACCCAAGTAGCAGAATGATTTATTTTGAAACTACATATTAGGGGTGGAATAAAAAATGTATATTTTCCTAATCTGGGGTGGGATGTTACACATTTCCACGTTGTGCTGTACGCTTAGTTTAAATACATACACATTGTGCCTTAATGCGGACATATTGGGCTATTACTATATATATA